CATGCACGGGTCTCGTTTCACTCCAAAATCTAAAAAAAATAATAATAATTCTTGAGATTTTGGAGACATTTTCCAAAGTGTTATTCTTATTACTGTCATGTGATTAAGAGCAGTGAGTAAAACATAGAAAACGTTCATATGTATTAGTTATGCGATATAGGGTGAAATATGACTTAAATATCTTCAAGAAAGGTTTCATGAGGTTTATCCGAATACACAAGTCAGTGTTTCCCACAGACTTACACTCTATGTGTAGCGGCACTTCCCCTGGGGGAAATATATATGTATATAATGTAAATATAAAACCGAAGACGGGTTTATTGAAAGTGCAAATTAATTCTCTGCCAGCAGGACGCGCTTTAAGAGTGGCAGAAACAGTGGTTTCCCTGGTAACGGCTGTAATTAAAGAAGCACTGTGCTCATGAACGCTACTTTATCAGGCATTATAGGAAAGATGAAATGAAAATGACATCAAAACTTTTCTGAAGACAATCAGTTCCCTTAAAAAAAGATAAATTTATATAAAACACCCGTGCCGCGTTTTGATTTTTAAACGTGTAGTGCTCATGCTTATTCAACAAAGTCAAAGCACTTTGGAAAATCTATTTGTGGCGGTCAGTGTTGATATTGTGGCGGGCCACCACAAATAAGTCAATGTATGGGAAACCCTGCAAGTACAACCCTGTGGGAAGAAAACATAGATGGGAAAGAACTCATGTGATTATTAGTTGCATGCCTGAAAACAACTGCAACACTGTCTTCTATTGGAATTTTGTACCAGTTGATCAGATGTTATTCTTGTGCTTTTCCTGCTTCATACCAAGATGTGAAGTTGTTTCTTATGCTCGATGCCTGCAGGCGATGGAGGGCTCAATGTTGACACTCAGCTTGGCTAACTGGATGGAACTTCCTGGTTTGAAGCTGAAGGACTGGATGAGAGATAAACGAAGGTATAAAGAAATGAAACTGAAACATTCAAATAAAATTAGTCTAGAGAATAAAGGGCTCATCTTTCATACAACATTCATTTTCATACAAGATTCTTGGCATCTTGAGATAAAAATAAGATTCCTCCATTGAGTTAGTCCTAGAACTAAACTGAAACTATTAGGTGACTTGCAGCTGCTCTGTGTACATTTTTCTTTTAAAATACTTTTTTCTTGTCCTAACATAATGTGAGGAGTATAACTAAGTGAGCAATAATTATCTTAATTTCTCTTAAAATGTAAATAACATGGTTTTGAGCCACAATAAGTATAAATATTTTATGAAGTTACAAATGATCAAAATGAACAAAACAATTATCTAACATACTGGTTTGTGTGTGCAGAAATTTACGCAATGACCGGGCCACACCAGCTGAGATTGCGTCGTACTATCAGCACTATGTGACTAAAATGGATCTGGAGAAGAGCTTTGCTTGTGGCACCACCGTGACCTCAGTGTCTCGGGTTTCCCTTGAATCTGGCTGCTCCGTTTGGAAGATCCAAGGCCTCCAGAGAAGAGCAAGTAGTGGTGAAGGAAATGAAGTAATTGAAGTCCCTTTCTCAGTCTATGCAGAGAACGTGGTGCTTGCCACAGGAACCCACGACATCCCAGCCCGTCTCGGCGTGGATGGTGAAAACCTTCCCTTCGTTTGCCACAGCTTCTGGGAGCTGGAGGCTGCCATTTCCTCAGGCCGTTTGGACCGTGCCTCAGAGCCGGTTCTTGTGGTTGGTGCTGGGTTGACGGCGGCGGATGCCGTTCTCGCAGCACACCACTTGAACACACCTGTATATCACGCCTTTAGGCGACCTGTGAGTGATCCGGCGCTCATCTTCAACCAACTGCCCAAGCTCCTCTACCCTGAGTACCACAAAGTGCACCAAATGATGAGCCAACAGCAGCACAAAGTGGGTGAGACGGTGGTTAATCTGTCCAACCAACCTCTTTCTTCACTTGCTGATGGCACCAGCCCGTATACCTGTTACCCTGGTTACCTCAGTTTCCCAAAGCATCATGTAGCTGCCTTCAGACCTGATGGCAAGTGTGTGCTAGAGGATGAGAGAGGGCTACAGACAGTGCTGCAAGTCTCAATGGCGCTCGTTTTGATTGGTGCCCATCCCAACCTGTCATTCCTCCAAGAACATGGTCGCCCACTGGCGTTGGACTCAGAAGAGGCAATCAGTTGTCGGCGGAACCCGCTAGACGTGAATCCATACAAGTATGAGTGCGTGAAGGAGCCAGGGATGTATGCTATGGGTCCACTGGTGGGTGAGAACTTTGTGCGGTTCCTGAAAGGTGGAGCTTTGGCCATAGTGTGTGACATCGCCGAAAAACGAAGTAAAAAACGACAAGAGAAATGCACAACAAGCTCATTGAATATTCAACTGACCAACTGCGCATTGGAAGCATGAAAAGACATTGACTTTAAAGGGGTGAAAAGAGATTTTTGATATATAGCTATCTGGTACTTCCAGAATCCTTCAGAAACGCCACATACATGGCAGAAAATGCTCAGTGGTTCTGCTCTGACTGACACAGAGGAACCAGTTGTTGAATGGTTCCTGACTGTTCCGGCCTCCCACTGCAAGTGCTTGCATGTAGACGTGCAAATGCACTGACACAGATCTTTGTTGTTAATGGCTAACTAACCCGCCTCTAAACATTCATCTGAGTTTACAGACACAGGGTGCTTTAACACTTCAGGGATTTTGTTCATGGCTGCTCACTCGAAACACTACTCATGTTCTCACAGCAATCATGTTCTGTTGTGCCAAATTATTAACATTTGTAATCTCCGTGTTTTCAAATCTAAAATTTCCTTCATGTAAGGAAAACACAAAACTAATCTTTGCCAAGCAAATGATGCTGTTGTATCAGTGTTTGTACTAACACTCTTACTGTCCTCTTCAATGAATGTATAAATCATAGTGGACCGAAAAAAATCTGAAAGATCATTGTAGCATTTCAACTTTTTGTCTTCCGTACATTGCCTTCCCAAGTAAAGCATACAGTTGTAGGGAATCCATTGGTTATACCAGCAAACCAGACTTGAGTGTCTAGAATTGGGGCTCTTAATAAGACGTCCTTGTTTCATGCTGCTGTTACTAACCAAAGTCAAACCTCAGAGAGGTCAGGCTGCACTTACAAAACTGACCACAAGAGGGCCTTTGCACACCCGTGATGGAAGCTAGCAACATTGCATGAGACATGATGATCCTTCAGGACATTATTTGAATGAATGATTAATCCTATATAAGCTTATTTACCGCTGTGTTAACTGTCATGGGCCAAATATATGGCCTCGAAGACCTTTTGATGCAATGAGTAAACTGTACATTTATTTTAAATTTTGTAAAATTTAAAGGCAAATCAAATGCATATCTTGTTCCTTTATGAAAAATGATTTTAGATTCAACGTTGTGATAATAAACTTTTTTTTTAAATCTAAAAACGAATTCTGCTATATTACTTGAATGTACGTTATGATCCCTGGCAGCTCCGATTAAATGTGTTTGTTTAAAATAAATGTTAAAATCGTTTGTACTTTTTTGAAAGAAAAATATGTATAGTTTATCTACATGGGTTGCAGTCAAATACTATTTAAAAAAAATAAATAAAAAAATGGAGCCTGGAAACAATACTGTGCCTTCATGTGTCTGTCTATGGCTGTTACTCTTACTCTGCAGTTTTAAGAATGTTGGTCAAAAAAGTGCAGTTTTTAGAAATGTTTAATACATTGTTCATACTGTTCCGTCCATAAAAGGGTCACATGATAACAATATGGCTTCTGCATGTTGGTTAAACCACACTGATAGATGTATTCTATTGCTTTTAAGGCAAAAGTTCTTAAAATATTTTATTATATTGCTTCACTGCTTTTTTTAATAAGTGGTAATATGAAAGAAAAATGATATATACATAAATATTAAAATGATGTAAACAAAATAAAATAAAATAGGCTGTATATATGCAGTATATACCGTACTTTTTGTAATGCACTGGTATTACATCACATATATTGCAAAACATTACTAAAGTTTCACCACTAGATGTTAGCAAGCAGCTACTACAGCTCAAGGACCTCTGTAGTAGTGCTGCAGTCATGTTTAGAATGCCTTGTAAGATGCTGAATATAATTTAATGTAATTAAAACTGAAATATTTCTTCAGTCAGAAATTGCTGTTTTTGAGAACAGTCTCTGTAAATGAATTCTAAAAATCCCTACTTTTCTTACTTTTAATTATGAACCATTGCAAAAAAAATTAAAAAACTTATTTCGAAACGTATTAATGTATATGTGAACTGATCTGTTGATTTCGTAGCAACACTCAAAATACACTGACTTTGTGAGTCTGGATGTGTGTGCTGCTATGAGTGGGCACATAAGGCTGTGTGGGAAGCTCTTTGCATCTTTGCAAACTGCTGAACAAGGTGACCTCAGCTCTCTCCCACAGACAGACAGGTGGCCACTAGAGGACGTGATGCTGAATTGATCATGTCTGCGTTGCTATGAGACCTGAGCTCAGAGGTGGACTCATTTCATAATGTCAGGTAACAGCACAAGGCTGGGCAAGATCACAATGGTGCTGACTCATAGATGATATGAATCCTTGAAAACCAGCTCACTTGTGTTTAGATAGATATAACAGGATGTAGTTCTGTGTGTTCTGATTCATCTTAATAGAAAGTACATTTTAAATTGCTTAAGGAGAGAGTTTAGCAATTGTGGACAGCGTGTAGTCATAAGTAATCCACTAAATGGTTTTTAAAATGTTTTATAATTATAAATGGTTAAATAGACGTTTACTTGTTCGTCTTAAATGTTTTTAAAAGTACAAATATTTCATATTGTCTCGAAATAATTGTTATGAGGCCATAGATGTATATCTCTTTTATTTACATACATAACTAGTATGTTGATGACAAAAGTAACTGAAAAGCACGAACATTTCCGAAGTACTAATGCTCCGCCCCTTTTTTGAGTTCGTCGCAAGCCGATGCACACAAACGGGTTAGAAAGCGAGCGAGCGAGCCAGGAGTGAATGTTTACCATTCACTCTGGAATCTATCAGGAGTCGAAACTTTAGTCAGGTTTTGCTGTATTAATTTTACCCGGAAAGCTCTTTCAAACTGCAAGCGCTCAAAATAATCATCAGAAGGGATATATCAGCGGGTTGACCGACTGAATGAAACCATGAGGAATAAAAAACACGGCGGTTGTCGCGATCTAAACTAAACGTGACTATAGATCCCGCAGAGCCAAGGTTTTGAAAACGCCGAGCCAGGTACTTTGGCGCAGATTTCCAACGGTCGGTTTTGCCTGCGGGTTTACCTGTGCTTACGTGGCACGTTTTCGACCTGGAGACTTATTGTCAAAAATCCCGTTTTTAGGTTTTTTTATCCACTTGTATCGTGGCGATGCGATGTATTTTCGGAGGTTTAATAAGTTGCGTGGCCGGGACTAGTTTACTTGCGCCGGGCAGCCAATCAGCGGAACAACACTCACTATTTTTGCGTTAATTTATCCTCTTTTGCCTTTTTCACACGATAGCCTTTAAAAACAGCCTCGTACCGCACCCTTCAGATATTGACAGCGGGTTTCGAGGATAGCTTTCACAAGGAGGATAAGTGTCACCGCTGCGCGTGTGTTTTTGGGCTGGTAAAATGGATGCGGGAATGGAGAAGGAGTGCAGCGCTTTGGGAGGGCTCTTCCAAATCATCATGAACGACATGAAGGTGAGTCCCAGATTGAAATAACACACCCGATGCTTTGATTTACCCCCCAACATCATGGGTGGGGTTGGAGTCTGCCTGTAGCCTCAGAATAAGTTATTTTCCAGCTGTTTTGGAGGGTTGGCAACAGTTCTGTGGTTGGCCGGCTGTTGATAGATGTGAATCCAGCCGCCCTGTGATGTGCGTCCCCTTCAAATCACCATTTAAATAGACTGATCATCTCGGATATATGAGTACATTTACTAGTTAGAAAGACTGTATACATTTAGCTTTACGTGTAATATAGTAAAAATATGTGGTTAATCCATCTTCCTTGTTCAAAGGCAGTTCAAAGGCACTTCAAAGGGATTGCTGTCACACTAACATAGAACTAGCATGTTATTAAAATGGTTAATTTGACATGCACCATGGTTGTCTGATAGTACCATGGCAGAACCATATTCATATACCATAGTGTTTGAATTGTACATCAAGGACACTATGGTATTTGCCAAAATGTCATTTAAATATGGTTATGTATTTAAATGAGCCAGGTAGACATGATGGTATAGGAGTATAATATTCATTCAGTACCATGGCATATATCAAAGTGCTGTGCTATTACCCGGTCTAGTTTACAAAATCAATCAGTCTATCTAAAATGTGTCAGCTCGGTTTGTCATCTGTCATTCGTTCTAGTTAACAGTCTCAGCACATGCAGTGTGGTAAGTAATGTCCTGTTGTCTAACAGCAGTGTTGGTGAGCCTGAAACTGTATGAACACTTGTGAGGAACATTGAACACTGGATAGTGTCTTTTAATGTACTGTAAACATAAAACATGAAAATATTCTACAAATACTGCTCATACCAGTTGTTCATCATCATAACTCTGACTAATCATTTGCTTAGTTGAACATGTGTTGTAATGCAGTGGTGTGTGAGTGCACACAGGTGAGCAGGAAGTCTTTAACACGTTTCACATCCTGTCATAAGCATGGCTCAATATGTGACTCAGGCTTTATTCATAGTATTAAAATCTAGACCAGGGGTAGGCAACGTAGGTCCTGGAGTGCCGATGTCCTGCAGAGTTTAGCTCTAACCCTAATCAAACACACCCGAACAAGCTAATTAAGGTCTTCAGGATTACTAATGCCGAGTTTACACTGCACGATTTTCAAACTCGTCAGATCGCCGTTGTTTTCACACTGCGTGAATATCTGAGGTAGCAGTCAGTCGCTGCTGTGTTCACATTGCACGATGGATCGGCGACAGGGGGTTTCACACTGC